ACAGAGCGCACACCTATTACTTTGTAAAGCAAAGGTTTGTGTTGTTTGTGTTCTTCTGGAGATTAAAAGAGCAGACCTATAAGAAGTTGTCTGCTGAACAAGAATCATATCAGTTTGCGAAAGAGGAAACAGCACTGACGAGCCAATGAGGAAGTTGAAGTGCAGCTACAGAAAAACTGACAGGACTGATGAAACCGCTGTGTCACCCCCCATCTTACATGCAATGGCACAGTCCACAACCGCAAGTCACTGCTGTGCAAAAGTGGCATAGCCCACGGGACATTTGCTTCCTCTTCAAAAAGTCAGCAAAAGTACCTCGCAGGTGAAATTGGAAAGTGTGGCCTGATTACTAAACAGGCGATATGTAAAAGGAACAACTTGCATGAATTTTAAATCTAGACACATATGTAGATATGGCTACCAATTCTTTTTTCCTCCACTTGTTAAGCAAGCTAAAAATAGAAAAAGCATCTATCTCAAAGGATAAATCAGCAAAAGAACCATTTTCAATTGTTTTTTTTAGGAACTTTTCTGGTGACAGCCTGTCACAAAAACACATAACTCCTTCCCATTTCTTTGGTTGAATATATGAAAAGATACAAAGATACAAAAAAGATGATCCCCACATATCTTAGCATGGTGTGCAGTGTATCCTTGAAAAATGTGAGGAAACTGGACAAGTGGAGGACAAAAGAAGAAATGGCAGGCTTAAATACTCTATTCAGCAGATCAACAGTATCTGAAAGTTGTGTCCTTAAGAAACAGGAAAAAGTCAGACAAAGACCTGACAAAGAAGCACATAGCAAAGCACAGAGTGGAACACTATCAGTCGCAGATTGGTCTCCCCAGAGTCTGTGACTCAACATTGAAGCAATGTGGGATTATCTTGATAGAGAACAGAAGATAAGCAGCCAACATCCAAAGAAGAGCTTGGGATGTCCTTCAAGAAGCCTGGATAACTATTCCTGAAGACTACTTAAAGCAATGTCAGATTAGACTATGCTGAAGAATAAAGGTGGTTGTACAAACAGTCTTTTTGCCTTATATATTGTACTTCCATATATGTTTTCACATATTTTAATAAATAGGGGCACCAACTTTTGATTTTTCTGCAAAATATAAAGAAATTAAATATAGCTCAAGACTTTTGCACAGCCCTGTATGTAGAAGTGCTCACAGCCCCAGCTGTACTTTGGGGCTACAAAAAGGGCCAGTGTAAGATAAATAAGGATTTTATTTTTTTTAACTATAAATCATTCAAAGCTACTGTAATAGAATCAGTGTTAGAATGAACAGAATACGTCCCTTTAAATTGCTTAAATCACCAGCTTGACTTTAGGGACAAAAAAACTTGGATAACCGTGACGGTGTCTTAATGTTTTATCTAGCACCATCAAAAGGTCATCATTTCTGTGAGCAGTAATTAAGCTTAAACTGCACTATGTTTAGTGTCAGCATATCTGAACCTGCTGTAAATCACCATTTTAGCATAGGTTTTTATTGAACTTCTAACTTCTAATTGAACTTCTAACTTACTTTTAAGGTGGACTTACTGTCCACCTTAAAATGACCAAAAGTACATCTGACAGTTTTGTATATCTCATCCTGTTATAAGAGGTTCAGCTTATCTATGAAGTTCTCTTGTTTTACATAACAAAAATGTTTGTCCTAAATAGAGGATTTATTTAAAGATGCAACTGAACAGTTTGCAAATGTGTTTAGGGGCAAGGCGTACCCTGTGGTGGCCATGATGGAAAATTATTTAGCCTGGTTTCAGGTTCTACCTCAGTGGTTTTGTTTTACCTCTGTTGACTTTGAGAATGAATTAGGTGGTTCTCTAAATGAGTATATGGACGTGTGTGGGTTGGCTCACATATGCATATGGAATATGTACATGCAAGTACGAGTGTAACCTTTTTGCATTTTCTAGCAGACGCCAACACAAAGTACACAAAGTACACAAGAAAATGTACATTTGTCTGACATTGTCTTATAATACTTCTTGAAAAGCTACATAAAGTGCATATTTCTGCCCGATGTTGACTGGTTGACATTAACTATTTGCCAATCTATTGGTATCTGCATTTACAGCAGTTGAAAAAAGATAACGTGTTATGAGTGTTGACTTTGCATAGTTTATTCACCAACTTCCCTTTTGGCAGTGTTACAAAAACAACAAGCAGCTGCTTATCCAAGCAGAGTTGGACAGAGCGGATGAGGTAATAAATAATAAAGTGATAAGTTTGAGTGATACCTCAGGAACACTTAAGAAATTTGGCACGGTGAATTTACTATAACTCCAAGCAGTGTCTTAAGTAGGCCCAGGTCAGACTGCAACAGACTAAGCACTGCTGACATTTGTGTTTGCTCTTGATTCTAAGTGATATCTTAGATAGCGGATACACTCAATATGGTCATCTTTAGCACAGAAGCCCCGCCCACCTGCTGTTTAAGCCTTCTGTTTGCCAGAGACAGCCAATCAGCTTAAAGGCAGAGTAGGCGGTGCTAGTTCTACAGTTTTTTAATGTGAAATCATCTCCACAGTGAACTGCACAACAACCTGAAAATCACACCCAACCGATTGGAGAGATGGATCTGTGGATGTAGACAACATCTTCCAAAAGATATCAGTTGGCGTTTTGTTGGTGATGAAGCTCGCCATGTTGTACCAGGTTAACCTTTATCAGGTGATTTTTATGATATTCCAACTATTCAACTTGCATTTGTTTCCCTACTTGTTTGATTTTGATTTTCTTCTTTAGTCTGTTAATTACTTAATCAGTAGAAATGCCTTCTATCTGTACAGCAGCCAAGCCAAAGGAATATGCCAAGTGGAATTTGATTGTAGGCCAGCAGCTTTAAGAACATCATGCACTGAATAGTCTCACAATATGGAGTAATTTACATAATCTGCATTTTTAAATTATGTATTTGAACATAATTTATAACATATTTATAAAAATAGGGGGATGGAAGATGGAAGATTCTGTTACTTTTTTCAGACTGGGTGTGTCGTGCTCAGCATCTGTGCCTGTGTTTTCTCCTCTGCAGACTCAGAAGCAGTAAGTCAGCATGCTGACTATCATCTCTGGCCTGGCTGGTCACTGAGATCTGGGGTTTACTTTATGGAGGATGGTAGCTAGTGGCATTTTGCTCAGACCCTGCGTGGAACTCATAATAACAGATGAAATGAAGGCTTGTGCAGCAACAAAATAAAATTCAAATGAATCGAAGACATGCGAGTTGTAAATATCATCAGCTACTGGTAGCGGCAGAAAAAAGTCACACATTGAAGCAACTTAAGGCTTTTGGAATATATAAATTCTTAGTGTGACATCCTGTTTAGCGTGATCTGCCAATTTTCTTTTTCACACCCAACATGACCCAGCCCAGTTTGCTTTGAAGTCTAAGATCAATGCATTTGTGTCACACTTTTCTAGAGGTGCAGTCATTTAACATTTTACACTTTATTTGAAACAATTAGTTATCGATCATTAAACTACAAGATGCTGTTTTTGCAGATGAAAACGCAGAGATGCAGTCAGATAAAGTTGTGGGATATTAATCTGGCTTTGGTGTTAATGAAACTAACAAGAGGTGCACTAGAAGGGCAACAATGAGACAACCCTCAAAACAGGAATGGTTTTACAGATATTTTTTCCCTCCACATCTTTTCTGACTGTTTTTTCCACTAGTTTTTTATCTGACTAAGGCCAGTGTCACTACTGGTAGCATGAGGTGATGTGGTAGAGCAGGTCATCTACAGGTTTTAGCTCTGGCTGTTCCAGCCTGCATGTCAAATATCCTTGGTCAAGATACTAACCTCAAGTTCCTCTCTGAACACTTAAGCATAGAAAAAAGTGCTTGTATGAATGGGTGAATGAAGCATGTTATATAAAGCCTTTTGAATGCTCAGTTAAAAGAGAAAAGCGCTATAAGAACCAGTCATTTACCATTTACCTGGTCCCAACAGAGGTTGCACAGGTAGTCCAACTCCTCTAGGATGGCACATCAATATGTCCCATTGCCACAAGGTTTGCTATGTCTCCAAGAACAGTCTCATGAAAATGGAGGAGTTTCCAGGAGACAGTTACTGTGGGAGAGCTAACCAGGGCCGTAGAAGGTCATGAACCCATCAGCAGGACCGGTATCTGCTCTTTTGTGCAAGGAGGAACAGGACGAGCACTGCCAGAGCTACAAAATGACCTCCAGCAGGACGTTGGTGTGAATGTCTCTGACCAAACAATCAGACTTCATGAGTGTGGCCTGAGGGCCTGGTGTTCTCTAGTAGGCTTTGTGCTCCCAGCCCAGCACCGTGGAGCCCGACTGGGACTTACCATTGAATACCAGAACTGGAAGGACCACCACTGGTGCCCTGTGATTCACCCTAAGCACATCTGACAGACGTGAAAGGATCTGAAGAAGCTGTGGAGAACGTTACGCTGTCTGTAACATCATTCAGCATGACCAGTTTGGTGGTAAGTCAGTGATGGTCTGTGGGGGGCATATCCATATAGCGACATAACTAAATCCAACAGAACACCTCTGGGACATTATGTTTCCGTCCAATCGTCCAGGAAACCATCAGTCATCTCATTAAGAGCAGGCTCTGATGTTAGCAGGGATGCATACAAGCATGTGGGGGCCATACAAACTACTGCGTACCTTGTGCAAATGTTCCTTTAATTGCTATGAGCCGTGTACGTTTGGCGTTTGTAATGTGTATGTGCGACCCAGGTTGAAAGCAGCTTTCACTTTGTCTAACGTTATGTTTGGGATTATATTTACCAAAAGTTTAGGTGTTTGTTTATTAGTGCTGTTTGTAGGTGAGTCTCCTGAAAATTTCATGGAGTTGCTATGCATATGCAACGTTTCCAAATGGATTTTTCCCGTAGTAATTTGTATTGTGTTCATAATTAATCTAAAGTGAACACTTGTTACTTAATTATGCTATGAATCAATTTTCTTCAGTATATTATTTTTTATCTATCTTATCTAATAGCCTCTCTGGGCTTAAAGTAGAATAGGGTTTGGACACAGCGGTCCTTCCTGGTTTGCAACCCGGGGTCATTTGTAATGAGGAGGCACTGAGGTTGAAAATGAAGCTATTGTAAAACTTTTAAACTTTAAATACAAATGCAAACAGTTTAGCACAATTAGCTGTCAAACGTTTGACAGCTTTCTGTTTGAGTTTTACAAGATACTCATTAATTCATGCATAATTCCTCCAAAGAGTCAGATAGCTATGTGACAATATAATTACATTTTCCTATGCCATTGTGTTTTAAAGCCACCGTGTAGCTGCTGTTATTGCAGGAATTTAGATTCTATTGTTTATTTATAAACAAACAGCAGTTAGGAATCAGAAATAACCCATGAACCATGCTGTCCGGCAGGAGGCGACAGAGTCCAGTTTAGCGCAGTTAATGGGAAAGGGTTTTCCCAGTCGAGTTATGGTTCAATACTACCGTACATTACTGACTGATGAGCATTAAGTGCATTTCCTTAACTGCTAACTGATGACAGTCAAGCCTCTTACAAAATTGTCGCTGTAAAAGCCAGCTAGTCATTTAAGGCCATACAATGAAGACACAATATTTTATGAGTACGTTACCGCGTGGATAAATCACCACATCTGCACGTATCTGTCAACAACGCGGGGAATCTGCTCTGTGTGCTTTAATTAGCCTGTTAGTCATCAATGGGACGGTCCTGTGACGTGCAGCTGTCAAAACACTGGAGGAGGGTAAAAGTTAAAACGGAAGTCAGGAGAGTTTACCTTCAAAATAAAGGGTACACCAAGAAAAAAAATAATTAAAAAATTTCTGTCTAGCAGGTAAATTAAGACAGCTTGGCCCTTAACATCAGTGATTAAAATAGATTTATTTCCACTTTCTGATTTGTTTACTAAAACAAAATGACAGCATTTATGACATCTTTTTGGGTGTAAATATAAAGAAAATATAAAGTAAATTTACACCCATCCTTTATGTATTCTGTCTTAGTCCATCCATCCATTTTCTTCCACTTATCCGGGGGCAGCACCCTAAGCAGAGAAGCCCAGGCCTCCCTCTCCCCAGCCACCTCCTCCAGCTTGTCCGGGGGAACACCAAGGCGTTCCCAGGCCAGCTGAGAGATATAATCTCTCCAGCGTGTCCTGGGTCTGCCTCCTCCCAGTCGGACATGCCTGGAAAACCTCGCCCAGGAGGCGCCCAGGGGGCATCCTTGCCAGATGCCCAAACCACCTCAACTGGCTCCTTTTGATGTGGAGGAGCAGTGGCTCTACTCTGAGCCCCTCCCGTATGGCCGAACTTCTCACCCTATCTCTAAGGGAGAGGCCAGCCACCCTTCAGAGGAAGCCCATTTCTGCCGCTTGTATTCGCGATCTTGTTCTTTCGGTCACTACCCACAGCTCGCAACCATAGGTGAGGGTAGGGACGTAGATCGACTGGTAAATTGAGACCTTCGTTTTTACACTCAGCTCCCTCTTCACCACAACAGACTGGTACAGCGTCCGCGTCACTGCGGCTGCTGCACCAATCGTGAAAAAGACCCTGGCCAAGCCAGCTCCAATCAGCAAGAACCCTGTTATCATGGTTCCAAATTAGATATCTTCAGCGTCCTCGATCGACAGTCCCGCCAGGCACACGATCCTCCATTTCTGCCACCCGTCCATCGTGTATCCGGCAGGGAAAGTACCTCCAGGGCACTCGGGCTCTCCCGAGCCCAGAGTTCTCATTGAGAAAAGG